TTTTACTATCCCAACGTTTACATTTACAGAACAGTTTGGATCTTCATTATGGGTGAGTCTGTACTTAGAGATACTTGTTTCTCGGTCTGCCAGTGGAATTTTATACCTAAAGGTTACCTCGGCTCTTTGCATTGAGGTGTAAAATACCAAGTCTGGGGGACCACTGAAAAGTGAAGCAGCGTTAGGCATCCCAGCATCCTTAAGCTGGTGTTTATTACTGAAGGGATTGTCTTTTTTCAAAATTAGACTTTTTCTTGAAATTCTTCCAACTCCCATTCCTATCAAATTGACCATGAAAGCGGCACAGAAAGAGAGAGATGGATTTTTTTTAATGAAATAATTTCACTGGAAAAAATCTTACTAAGGGAGGAATTTTCTATCTCTGGAAATTTTTACAACACACCTTAGAAAACTGAGATTTAGTTAAGAAATAGCCCTTCCGTGAAGATTATAAAGCAGTATTTCCCAGCAGTGTGTTCTTGGAGGGACATAGTTCCACTTTTTGGAAACAGATGTGCTGTGGGGGAGATGTAGTTTTTAATCTATAGAAGCTGATTATATTTTCCATGGTCTCAAACATGCACAGTGTATCTTCTGGCTTGTTGAGAATGTGAATATAGTTATAACTTTTAATGTTCTTGTCTATGATTTTTATTACGTATGTCACTTCTGCCTTGGTGTAATTGATTGACTGATTGATCTGTACATCTCTGGCATTTTTTTCTACTTCTTTGCATGACTGATCATGTTTTATTAGATGCGTGCTGGATGTTTTCGTGCTCTTAAGAATATCATTGAGCTTTGTTCTGGGGCTCAGTTTAATTACTTGGAAACAGTTTCATCCTTTCCAGGCTTGTTTCCCCTGGGATCGGAGCAGCCTTTAATCTAGGGCTGATTTTTCCTATTACTGAGGCAATATCCCTCTCTATTCTGCTCAATTTCTCATGAATTAGAAGATTCATGAGTAGCTGTTTTCCTAGTCTCACCTAGTTCCCTCACACATAGGGGCTGATCAGTATTTAGCTGAACATTCAAGGGGCCCTTCTGCAGATCTTAGGCATCTGTCTTTGTGATGCTTTCTCCTCTCTGGTCCTGTCTTGCAAAATCTAGCCACCTGGGCTAGTGTTCTGCCAGCCAGACTCTCAGCTCTGTCATCCTCAACTCATGGGGACTGCTGGGGTCTGCGTGGCTTCTTCCTTGGCCACGGCCTAGAACGTCTCAGCAGGCAGTAAGCTGGGGCAGTGAATTGCACAGCTCAATTTTTTTGTTTGTTCTCTCACAGGAGTCGCTTTCCTGTGCTACCTCATGTCCAGTGTTTGAAAGCCATTGCATTTTGTTGTTTGCCTGGTTTTTTAGTTGTTTTAGGTCACTGCTCCTGCATCTTGGCCTGAAGAGGCCTGGATTTTTTAGTGACCCAGAATATCCTTTTCTACCTCACAGATGAGATTGTAACTGTATATACTATTTGGCGACTACTTTTTTAAGTTAGCTGTGTATCTTAGATGTCTTTTCATGTCAGTCCATGTTGAGCCATCTCATTCTTTTAAATTGCTGCATAGTAATATCCTAGTGAATAATTGTGCTTTCATTTCTTTACCTTGTCTTGTGTTGATTGACATCAAAGTTATTTCTGTTTTTTAGTATTATAGTCAATACTGTAATAAAATCTCTGTACCTGTGGCTTTTTGTGTGCATGCTAGTATTTCAGGGATAAATTCCTACAAGTAGAATTCCTGGGTTGAAAGGGTATGTACATGCTAAGTTTCAATATATAACGTCAGATTTTCTTTTAAAGAAATTTACATGCCACTAAGTATATAAGTGTTTTCCTTACACTCTTATCGTATTGTTGTTTTTGACTTTTACATTCTGAGTGAGGTTGAGCATCTTTTCCTTAAGTTTACTGACTGTTTTTCGTATGTATTCTTTCCCTTATGATATAATTGGCTTGAGCCCTTGACCCCTTCCTTTTTAAAAACATCTGGTATTTATCTATTTTTAAAAATTGAATTATAAAAGCACTTAGCATATTAAAGAAATAATTTTTTTCATATGTATTGCAAATACTTCTTCCAAAAAATTTTTTTTGTATATGTATATATATATATGTTTTCACTGAAGTATAGTCAGTTTATTACATGGTGTCAGTTTCTGGTGTACAGCATAATGCTTCAGTCATACATGAACATACATGTACTTGTTTTCATATTCTTTTTCACCATAAATTACTTTAAGATATTGAATCCCCCCAAGTTTCTATTGCATTTTGACTTTGTAGCTTTTTTTTCCTCAGAAGTTGAAGTTTTTTCCTACGGTTTATAATTACTATGTAGATACATTATCTTTCAGATATGTAAAATATTCAGTGATAAGTGTTTGTTTTATTTACCTTCACCCTGATTGAGGTTAGGATCTTTTCATATGCTCTTTGACTGATCTGTTCAGAGGCTTTATCCATTTTTTTAATTGAGATTTTGTTCTCAATATTTGCAGGAGCTCTTTATATTTTGGATATTAATTTCTTTGTGTAAATATTGCTGGTATTGTCTTCTAGTTTGTCCTTTGCTTTTGTTTATATTTCTTATTAAACAAATTGTAAGTTTATCAGTCTTTCCCCTTAATATAGGTTTAGTGTCCTGTGTTTAAATATATTTTTTGTAAGACATGTAAGTAATGAGTTAGGGAGCCGGCATTTTATTGTTTTTGTTTTTCCTAAATGACTTTTAATGAATAATCTGGGTTTTTTCAGGGTTATTTTTAATCTGCATGATCATTCGCTTATTTACAATTCTAATTTGGAGAGAAGCACAGTGAAAATAGATAAAATCATGAATGGTCTCACAAGCATGAAGTAGGAAATTAATTACTTTTAGAGTTCTGAGTTTAAGAATCTATGGTTGTATATAAAGTTAGACTGTGTATGTAAATATATATGTGGTTTTCCACCTTCTACTGGAATGTCTATATATTTCTTCATCGTTCCTTTCCTTTTTTTCCAGTTATTTGTCAATTGACTGTTTACGGCAGTCTGTCTGACACCAAGTCTTATACCAAAAGGAGGGATACTTCTTAAGGGTTTATGGTCTATTTGCAAAGATACTTGTGCTATAAGTGGTACAGAGGGTTGGGAGTCTTGAAAAAATGCTTCACTGGGAGGTGGGACTTTAAGCTGGATGTTTTAGAAATGGCCAGCTTATGTATTTCTTATTTTGGTTTTAAGTTTCATGAAGATAAGCCTGATATATCAAATGGCTACTTAATCTCATATCACTTGCTTAAAACGTTTAAGAAAAAAAATCTTTATTATCCTATGCTCTCCTCTAGTTTGTCCTGGTTAAGAGCTTTACTTAAAGCAAGTTTGCGATTTGATGGTGAAGATGGTTACACGAACAATCCAGAGTGATTGAAGAAGCTTCTGTTAATTGAAACCCTCAAGATTCATTAGTTATAAAATTGAAAATATAAAATATTTTAATTCTCTGTGATTTATTTTATTGTAGAGCATGGGCCTGGAATTGATATGTTTACACCGGGTAAACCTGGAGATTATGACTTGGAAGGTGGTATATGGGAAGATGAAGATGCTCGGAATTTTTATGAAAAACCTCATTGATTTGAGAGCTTTTTTTCCAGCCATCTTGTTTAAAGATAATGAAAAAAGTTGTCAGAATAAAGATTCCAACAAGGATGATTCTAAAGGTAAATTCTAGAGGGCAAGTTCTTATATTAAGTGTTGTAAAAATTAGTTTGAGAATAATATTTGTAAAAACTTTTTTTTTTTTTGCTTACTGGTGTCAAGAGAAAGTCTGAACTCCTCATTAAGGAGTTCAGATGGCATACAGAGTTAAACAGGTTATGGTCTTTGTTTTCAATGAGAATGATGTATTCTTAAAAATCTGAATGTATCAAATTTCTTGTCAGGTGTATATTATAGATTCTGAGACAAATGATACAGATTTTGTGAATCCTTAAGTATTTCTTGCAGCAGGATTTCAATATGACTTTTAAATTAAGAGATACTTATTCTTTGATTTCAAACAGAAGCAAAAGAACCTAAGGATAATAAGGAGGTACCGAATCCTGATGACCTGGAACTCGAGTTGGAGAACCTAGAGATTAATGATGATGCTTTGGAGTTAGAGGGTGGAGATGAAGCTGAAGATCTTACAAAGAAACTTCTTGATGAGCAAAGTAGACACTTCTGCCAAAAGCCTTAATTTTTGTTTAGTTGTTATACACAAAGCTCTTGCCTGTGAATATGAATCTTTACTCTTTAATTCCTTGTTTTCCTGTTGTTTCTAGGCCATCACTTTTTTGGAATTTGACTTGAAACAGAAATACTACATGTCCCATATTATGTGACCACAGACTTCAGTGATAATTAAATCTTAATGGCTATTTCTTATACTTTACTTTCTAGCATTGTCCTTAATGTAAATTAATTCTGATATAATCTGTACAAAATATATTTAATAGTTATTCTACAATGGTTGAGAGAAAGACAATTAGTGTATCAGTTCATCTGTGATAATTTTATCTGTCTTTATAATTGAATAATGTTTTGTCTTTAGTGATAAAAATATCACACTGTTAATTATTTCCTGCATACTTCCTATCAGGTTTCGTTATTAGTTACAATTCTTTATTAGAAGGATACCTTCTTGTCAATATTGCTTTTCTCTCTGTTGGCTTCATTGTTTCCTACTGCAAATTCTCTTTCTCCGTGTCATGAAGGGAGGGTAGGCATGGCTGGAGGCTGCCCCAGGCTCAGACCAGCTGGTGACATCAAAGGATGAGAGGGGTTCTCTCCCCCTGTCTGTATATGCACAGCATAGAAGGACTTGGATAGTTCTGGGCTGTGCTGGCCTGTGCTGAGAGGAGTGGTGGTGTACTGAGTGCTTTGCTAAATACCCAAGTTTGAATAATCACAGTTTATCCATCAGTTCTTTCAAGTAAAAATGGTATCCTATGCAAAAAGCAACTAGCTTAGCTTGGCACCTGCCCCAGCACAGTCCCGTGGATTGCCTTTGATGGCAAGCAGTGATCGTAATGTTAACTGAAGGTGTGGGAGAAGGGGTGCTCAACAGATAAAAATAATGGATCTACAATAAAACTACATGCAATTTATGACGTTATTTTGTGTCTCATGCAAGTTTACCTTTTTATACTTAATACCTGAAAGACTGTGATGATTAGTTTAGGATTATGATTCTAGAGATGCCCAAACTTTTAAGGGTAATATCTCAGTGCTTCATTTTTTTCATGAGTGAGAAAAATGATCTAGATTATCTGTGTTCCAAATAACTTATTATTGGATGTTTTTATTCTTCTATTGTCTATGTATTTTTTTAACCTATTTCAAAACTACTTTTATGTTAGAACAAGAGGATGAAGAAGCCAGCACTGGATCTCATCTCAAGCTCATAGTAGATGCTTTCCTCCAGCAGTTGCCCAGCTGTGTCAACCGTGATCTGATAGACAAGGTATGATTGTCTCTAGGTAACTTTACTCAAGCACATAGACCTTGTAGGATAGCTCTAATTAGGAATGTCTGTGGTTTTTGGACTGTTTTGGCCATAGAATGAACCATTTCTTCAAATGGAATCTTACATGGGAATCCAAAATAAACACACAGTTGGAACCGGTTTGTTGATCTTACGTTTGGGGTGGAACTGTCTCTAGGATCCTGTTGGCTTGACTCTGCCCTTCATGTAGGGATGCCACGGTTTGGAAAATACTGTTAGACCAGAAGTCCTTAAAGTGTGCTTTGTAGGTTCTTGATGTCATCTGAGGCACTTTCAGGGGCTCTGTAAAGTCAAAAAACTTTTTATACTAGTACTAGGATTTTCCCCACCGCTTGTTCAGTGTTTTCAACATTTGCAAAAGTGATGATGGGTCAAGTTGCTGGTGTTTTAACGTGGATCATAACGCAGTGGCAGCAAACTGGAGTAGTGGCCATTGTGTTCTTCGTAGCCATGAATTTGCAATTAAAAAAACAATGCCACTTTCACTTAAGATTATCTCCTTGAATGCATGAAAATTGGTGATTTTATTTCATTTCTACCTTTGAGCACACTTCCTTTTAACCTGATGAAATGAGAAGGATATGAAAAGCACATTTGCTGTCTCAAGTTGTCTCCAGAAAAGCCACCTGTGTGATTGAGTTGCCAGCTAAGCTAGCAAAAAAATACCCCCCTGGTATTTTTAAGTAAATTAATATTTTTAAAATTTCTCAATTTTAACTT